CCAGGACCAGGGGCGAGGCTGGGTCCAGGGCCAGGACCAGGAGGGCGACGACGAGGTGCCTCCTGTGGCCTCCTGGAGCATCCTGGAGCTTCCTGAGGCCTTTGGAGCTTCCTGGGGCCTCCTGGAGCCTCTTAGGGCATCCTGTGGCCTCTTGAGTCTTCCTGTGGCCTCCCGGTGCCTCCTGGGACCTCCTGTTGCCGCCTGGGGCCTGCTGGAGCCTGCTGGAGCCTCCTGTGGCATCCTGTGGAGGATCCGTGCCCACGAGTCTGGCCACGAGAACAGGCAAACCGGTCGAGACATCCTGAATATCGGCCTCCTTTTCGGGATGAAAACAGCGCCTCGCTCGGGACATCCTCTGAATTTGCTCCGCCATCATCATCATCATCATCATCATCATCATCATCATCATCATCATCATCATCATCATCATCATCATCATCATCATCGTCATCGTCATCATCATCATCATCATCATCATCATCATCATCATCATCATCGTCATCGTCATCGTCATCGTCATCGTCGTCCTCGTCCTCGTCCTCGTCCTCGTCATCGTCATCGTCATCATCATCTTCATCAGCATCATCATCAGCAGCAGCAGCAGCAGAATCAGCATCAGCATAATCATCATCAGCAGCAGCATCATCATCTTCTGAGTGGGAGAGGGAAGAGAAGTGGGGAGAAGGTAACCTGAAGCAGTCGTCGTGGTCAGAGTAAGAAGGATGATTCACTGCGTGGAGCCCCCCATGTGTGCAACTTTTAGCATGGGCCCGTCCGCCGTGACTGTCTAGGCGCGAGAGTTTTCCAATATAAGCGGGCTCGAGTATCGACGGTCTGGGAGCGAATCTTATTGTGAATGAGTTGGAGTGTGAATGAGTCTCAGTAGTATGAGCGCGTCTCTGCGAATGAGCCTGGGGGCACCTGGGGCCTCCTGAAACCTCCTGGGGCTTCCTAGGGCCTCCTGGAGCCTCGTGGAGCCTCCTGGGGCATCTTGGGGCTTCCTGTGGCCTCCTGAGGCCTCCTGGGGCCTCGTGTGGCATCGTGTGGCCTCGTGCGGCCTCCTGGGGCCTCCTGGTACCTCCTGTGGCCGCCAGTTGCCTCCTGGAGCCTGCTGGAGCCTCCTGTGGCGTTCAGAAGAGGATCCGTGCCCACGAGTCTGGCCAGCAAGAGAAGCAAACCGCTCGAGACATCCTCACAAGCTGGCCCCCCGTGGGGTCGAACATGAGCGCCTCGCTCGAGACATCCTCAAAATCTGCTCCAAAGGCGGAAGATGTCGGGCACCAAAACAGGCAAACCGCTCGAGGCATCCCCACCATTTTGGAGCGAACGGAGGAGTGAGACCCTTGGCGGCTCCCCATTGGGGATGCTGAAACCCGCGCCTCGCTCGAGACATCCTCAGAAGATGCTCCGGCATCATCATCAGCATCCTCCTCCTCCTCCTCCTCCTCCTCCTCATCATCATCATCATCGTCATCATCATCATGTGCAGCAGTATCATCATCATCATCAGCATCGCCATCAGCATCATCACCATCATCTATATCATCAGCATCATCATCGCCATCAGCATCATCTGCATCAGCATCAGCATCAGTATCAGAAGAATCACCATCATCGTAGCAGAACATACAATACCATGACATGACATGATATAATATACCCTGACCACATACCGTAGCACAGCACATTAGACCATAGCATAGCATGACCTAACATACATCCCATCCCATAACCTAGCATGTCATACCATAATATATCATGGTATACTACAACATAGAATGAAATACCATGACAATCCATGACATAACATAGCATAACATACAATAGCATATCATAGCATGGAGAGGAGGAGGAGGAGGAGGAGGAGGAGGAGAAGGAGAAGGAGGAGGAGTGAGTGTGAAGGAGTCGGCGCGGTCGGAGTCATAACAAGAACCCCATCCTTTGGATATGGGGAACAATAACACCATCCTATGGATATGGGAGAAAATGCTTGAAAGCCCGTCCAAAAAAAAAAATCGAAAGTCACCCGAACAAAAACCTCAATTCGGATGTTTCTCTATGGTTTTCCAGGGTTTCCCCCTCAGGCTCTGGGGGGTGGGGGAAAAAGCACCAGAACTCCCCCCAACTCGAGGGCTTCTCGAGTGCATTTTCGGGGGGGAAGGAACCTCCAGACAAAATTTCAATTCCGAAACAAACACACACACACACATATATCTATATATATATATATATATATATATATATATATTACACGCATACATCAGAAAGATCCTCCACTCTGGGGTCCGGGTTTTTTCGGGAGGGTCCCGGAGGGGTCCAACAAAACCCTTCAAACCGCAATTCGAACGAAACCTCATTGGAACCCCAATTGGAGTTCCCGGGAGGGTTACGTGGTTGTCGGACATTGGGTGAAGCGAGGGTGAAGGATAGAAAGTTAGTTTGACGCACGTTGCCTTGATAGTCGTATGGGTTTTATGCGCTCTGGCGCACCGCGGGTTTCGTGCATGTGTTTCGCGGTTCCGCCCTGTTTCTTCCTTTCCCGTATTGCCCGACCCTTCGCGACGGCGCCTTTTGGGGCGGTCCGGATGCCTCATCCAAGGAGTCTTCCAGGAATGTCAGAATGGCGGCGGGCCCCAGTGAAAATTGTTTCGGACGCCCGTCGGCTCCAAAATCCAAAGGTGGCCAGCACCAGCAGCAAGAGAACCCTTCCTCAAAATACTATTGTTTGTAATTGTGGGGCCTCAGACCCCCCAAGCAATTATTCTGGCGAGGGGCCCAGCCATATGCAGCTGTGATTACCTCGTTATGGGTACCGCTCTGAGTGGAACCCCTTATGGGGCTACGATCCTCGTGAGGGGTGTGCCGAAGTGGGCGGGGGGACGCATGCAAACCCTGCCGCTGGAGCCTTCGGTGGAGCTCCCTATGGGGCCACGATCCTCGTGAGGGGTGTGCAGAAATCAGCGAGGGGGGACGCATTTAAACCCTGCTGCTGGGGCCTTCGGTGGAGCTCCCTATGGGGCCACGATCCTCGTGAGGGGTGCGCAGAAATCAGCGGGGGGGCGCATGCAAACCCTGCCGCTGGGGCTTTCCGTGGAGCTACCTATGGGGCCACGATCCTCTGGAGGGGTGTGCCGACATGGGCGGGGGGGACGCATGCAATCCCTGCCGCTGGAGCCTTCGGTGGAGCTCCCTATGGGTCCGCGATCCTCGTGATGGATGTGCCGACATGGGTGGGGGGGCGCATGCAAACCTTGCCACACGGGCATTTGGTGGAGCTCCCTATGCGCCCGCGGTCCTCGTGAGGGGTGTGCAGAAATCAGCGGGGCGGCGCATACAAACCCTGCCGCTGGGGCCTTCGGTGGAGCTCCCTATGGGGCCACGATCCTCGTGAGGGGTGTGCCGAAATCGGCTGGGGGACGCATGCAATCCCTGCCACAGGGGCATTTGGTGGAGCTCCCTATGCGGCCACGGTCCTCGTTGGGTGTGTGTAGAAATCAGCGGGGGGGCGCATGCAAACCCTGCCGCTGGGTCCTTCGGTGGAGCTCCCTGTGGGGCCACGATCCTCGTGAGGGGCGTGCAGAAATCAACGGGGGGGCGCATGTAAACCCTGCCGCTGGAGCCTTCGGTGGAGCTCCCTATTGGTCTGCGATTCTCGTGATGGGTGTGTGCCGACATGGGCGGGGGGACGCATGCAAACCCTGCCGCTTGGGCCTTTGGTGGAGCTCCCTATGGAGCCACGATCCTCGTGATGGGTGGGTCAAAATGGGCGGGGGGGCGCATGCAAACCCTGCCGCTGGGGCCTTCGGTGGGGCTCCCTATGGGGCCACGATCCTCGGGAGGGGTGTGCCGACATGGGCGGGGCGACGCATGCAAACCCTGCCGCTGGGGCCTTCGGTGGAGCCCCCTATGGGTTGCGATCCACGTGAGGGGTGTGCCGACATGAGCGGGGGACGCATGCAAACCCTGCCGCTGGGGCCTCCAGTGGAGTCCTTATGGGGCCACGATCCTCGGGAGGGGTGTACCGACATGGTGGAAATGCGGCGAGCAGAAGTGGGAATGGGAGGAGGGAGGAGTGGGAGGAGGGAGGGGGCAGCGGGAGGAGGCGAGACGCGGGGCGCTGTCTCTTCCAAAACAGGATGGTTGGGAAAACAAACGAGCTCCCCCACCCCACCCCCGCGCTCTGGAGTGAAAAACCTTCCAAAAACCCTTCGTTGGGATTTTTCTTCTGGTTTTTTTTTTCGAGGGGAGTCCTGGGGTGGTCCCAGGGACCTCCCGCTCCGGTCTCTACTGGCGCATGCATTTTTAGATTGTGTTGCGGAGTCGTGCGTGCAAGCTGCGTTGCCGACACCCGCCGCATCCTATCGGAGCTTGCAGGATTACCACCACCACCACCACCGTGAGGGGGTGGACAGAAGGGGATCGGGAGTTGGTGCAGGCACATTGCCAACGTAATGAAGGAAGGAGCACTATCGGTCGGGGAGGAGCTTCGGCTTTGGAGGGCCGTTCCGAAGACCTGAATCGGGGACCATAATGGTGGTCGAGTTTCACTGTGACCAGAAGGGCGCGTTCGTCGATTGATTCATTATTGGACGCTTTGGGCGTCCCGTTCTGCCTGCACATTTGGGTCCAACGAAGTGGCACTTCTTCACAGTCCAGCCAAAATTTCGATGCGAATCCAAACGCGGCGACGGGGGTGCCCCGATCGACGTCGTCATCGACACCGAAAACGACGACGACGACGACGACGACGCCGAGGACGAGGAGGAGGACGACGACGACGACGGCGACAACGACGACGGCGGCCACAACGAAGACCACAACCACGACCACGGCACGACCATGGCAACGACCACAACCACGACAACGACCACGACCACGACCACGACCACGACCACGACCACGGCGACGACGACGACGACCACGACCACGACGACGACGCCACGGCGACGACGACGACGACGACGACGACGACGACGACGACGACGGCGGCGACGACGCAGGCTCTGGTGCCCTTCAATGCTGCCTGGCAGCAGCAGCCGCCTGGGGCCGCCCCGCCCGCGGAGCTGCACCCCCGCGCACAGCCCCTGCTCGGCGGGCTCCGGGGCCCAGCGGCTCGGCCGGCCCAGCGGAGCCACGGCCAGCCTTCGAAGCGGGCCTTGTGCGGCGTCGGGGCCCACTCGGCGGCCGAGAGGGCGACCGAGCGGGCTCGCTTCCCCAGAGTCAGAGCAGGAGAAGGGGAGAAGGCACCCACGCCTCCATACCCTCGCCCGCTTGCCCCTTCTTCGGGCCTCCCGGGAGGCCCTCGTCGCCACCGCGGGGTTAAGACACCCACACCTCCATACCCTCGCCCGCTTGCCCCTTCTTCGGGCCTCCCGGGAGGCGCTCGTCGCCACCGCGGGGTTCGCCTCGAGATTCTAGTCAGAACGCACCCCGGGAGAGATCCGGGGGGGAGCGGTTGTCGGGGGCCCCCAAGCGGGGTGGTGACCACACCGTGTGGTGAATCGGGGGGGATTCGGGGTCACCGCACGGTTATGGGACGGGTCGTTCTCCGAGGATGTCTCGGGCGACTGGGGCCTCGAGGGTCCCAAAACCGTGTGGTGACGGACCCTGCGGTGATGTTTTTTGTTGGAGGATTTCGAGGTCACCGCCAGGTCTATCACCACACGGTTTTGGGACCCCTAACTGTGGCTTCCCCACAGAGGGCGTCTGGGCAGCTTGGCCCGCTCGGCGACCCGACGGGTTCGGTGCGACGGCCGCTCGGCGGCCGAGTGGGCTCCGGCGCGGAGTGGGCTCCAAGGGTGCGTTGCCCCGGGGCACCCCAGCCTGGCCCCTTCGGGGCTCAAGAGACGGGGGTCAATGTAAACGGAGTCAGCCAGAGCGCCCGATCTTGCAGGATCCTGCAAGGCCAGGGTCGCCTTGACCCGGGCTTGGGCGGAGGATCCCGCAGGACTTTGCAGGATCCTCCGCATTGACCCGTGCTTGGGTGCAGGATCTTGCAGGATTCTGCAAGGCCTGACTGACCCGATTCTGGATTGACCCGGGTCAGAAGGTCCCCAGCCCCCGCGGACTTTCAACAAGTGGCGCCAGCCAGCAAGCTAGAGCTGGCCGTGCTGGGCCTTGGAGGGCGAGGCGCGCGGCCTCTGGAGCTCCAGTGGGCGATGTGCGCTGCCCACCCAGACACCGACGGCATGGTTTTTTCAATCCGGACGTTTTGCCCACAGCCAACCCGCATGATACGATGGGAGCGTTGTTTAAGGAATGACCAGGAGGCTTCAGACCCTGGGGGGTCCTTGTCTGATGGGAGCGGCGGTGGTATCCATGACCAAGCCTCAATTGGAGTTCCACTGGCTTCCAGACCCTGGATTCCTTATCCAACGGTTCCTTATTCAATGCCCTCACCGTGGGCCCAACTTCGACCTACGCCCATCTGTGGGCCAGAGTTGGGGATGCCGCTGAAGGTGTTGAAGTCAAGCACATTCCTGCACATCGGTCAGAAGCGGCAGTGGCCAGAGGAGAGCTATCGGCTATCGAGCTCTTCGGCAACCGCCTAGCAGACAAGCGAGCGAAGGAGGGAGCCGCCCTCCACGCTCTTTCAGCCGACGACGTCCAGCTCCTGGAGGGCTGCTTGGCCAGGGCACGTGACGCAGCTCGCTTCGCCGCAGAGATCGAGGTCTACATCACGGATTCTGGGATGCGAGACTGCTGGCCGACGGAAGCCTTGGATAACGTCAACCTCCAGCCGTACCTCTACCCGTGGAACCTGACGTGCGAGGACGAGGGTTACGGCTCGTTGGACGCCTCCACGGCGCAGCGTGGCAGAGGCTCGGCAGCTGTGACAGCGGCAGCCTTCGCCGCGGCGGCAGCGACCAGCGCAGCGGCAACAGGTGCTGCTGCAGTCGCCGCGGGCGGCGCAGCGGGGCCTGTCCGCAAGCGCCCAGCGGGTGCGCAGAGGGCCGACTCCGCCCCTGCCGCCCCCATCGCTGCGGGGCCAGGCGAGGTGGGCACTACTCGTGCTGAGGCAGCGAGCGAGGTGTTTGCGAGAGAGGTTCGGCGCAGGGCTGAGGCCAGGTCGTCCGCAGCGTCCTCTCAGCGCATCCAGCTGGAGGAGGAACGCCCGTCTCCTGCTCTCACGGCTGGAACCGAGCCATGGGTAGTGCACGGCCACAACCTGATGCAGACCAACGTGGTGAGCAAGCCGAGCGAGGCCATCCTGGTGTGCACGCGCTGCTTCATGTACTGCCACCAGCCGCGGTACGCGCACAGGGGCCTGGCCAAGCCGTGCGTCGGTGGCGATCACAGATCAAGCCAAGGGTCGCGTGCTCAGGCCAGGACGGACTTCGGCAAGTTGCGATTGTCAGGCAAGGAGAAGCCGCCGATCGCGATGCTCAAGACGCCGACGATGGAGGAGATGCAGCGCTGGCGGAGGTCGCTCAATATGGGCGACTTCGACGGGCCCATCCCCCAGGTGGACGAGTTCCTGGCGGCGGCGCGTGCTGGCGGCCCTGGCGGCTCGCCAAGGCCTGCGGCTGCACAGCCTGCAGCGGGCCGAGCAGCTGGCGCGGCTGGGCCTGTGGGCGGAACGGCGGCGGCTTCGG